TTTACATCTCTTTTAGGACAGTCACTCCCACACCAGGACTGCTGGTGGTAATTTATCGTTGGAGTTGCTGTTGTCAGAGTAAATTATACTACTACCAGTACTACTAGTTCATGTCTTTTTGTAATGCAGTTGTTTCTAGCATCAATGTTCTTGGACAATATCACCAGAATCATCAACCCAAGCCACTCGTCCAAACTGGTGGAAGATTTTGTAGCCCACCCAGCCACTCCAGCCCTCCCCCCTGAGGAAGAGGAGCAATGCCTGAAATACATCATGCTCCAGCATGATACTCACCAGTGCAAAGAAGTTTCCTCAGCATCAACTGCTACTACCATCACGGGATCTTGTTTTTGTAATAACATTGTTGTTATTTCCCACATTCATGCTGGACAACAACAACCCACTAACAAGAAGCCCCAAGCCCATCAAGCCAAATCCCAAGAAGTTGTAATTCAATGACCAACAAGCTTTGATTCACCAGCTCCCAACGTCACCCTGAAGAACAGCATGAATGCATGGAGTAGTACCACTACTAGTGGTAGTACTAGTATACAATGCTACCACATGCTCAGTTTGTTTGAAGTTTCACCAACTGCATCATCTCCCTGCACCACCACCACCACCACCACCACCACCAGAGTTCTTTATGTACTACTAGTACTACTACTATTGCAGCTCTTGTTGTCTCCAACATCCATGCCAGCAGACAACAAGAAGTAATAATACTGACACCCCAAGCTGTTGCCCTCCTGCTCCACCAAAATCTACTACTACTAGTAGATCTAATAGTACTACTACTAGCAGTACTAGGAGATCTACTGTCCTTCTCCCTAGTCAAGATTTCTAGCAGTGATTCTGGCTTTTTTAATGCTTCTTTACTAGTCCACTACCGGTAGTACTAGGTTGAATTGGCTATGGTGCACTGGACTTCACTATCTTTAGTGTGCGGTACTAGCCAGTAGCTACTAACCTTGAAGAATCCTTACAGCCCTGGACTTACCAAGGAAACAAAAAGAAACTTTTTTTAGTGTGGATTTGTGTAAACCATGGTATATCATTTTTTGCAAATAAATTAGTACCTTGTCCAAAATAAATTATTCATTTTTAACTGAAACATTCAGTCATTATTGTGACAGCAAGTCATTCTCACAATAAGAACTTAGTAGTTTTTGCAACAACAAGAATTTAGTAAGTTTTTTTTGGCTGCTGCCCTTCAAGAGCAACAACAGCAACAACGGCGGCAGCAACAACCAATAAGCAATTTTTATTTTTTTGATCTTTTCTTCACTGGAACGGAGCAGCTAGAAGCATTCTTTCTAACAAAAGCTATGGTTCTGGCCATCTAAGTGCCTCTTCTACTAGTTCACAAGGTTAAACATAATTTTAAGATTTTTTTTTCTTCACTGGAAGGTTTGATTGGAAGACTCCTCGCCCTGATGGCTTCCGTCATACGTCCGTTTGGTGGCATACAGACAATACATCGTATTCATACGTATGTAATCGTACTCGAACGATTGGGTCTCGGTCTGGGCTCTTCTCACTTTTCGCGCCATTTTGAAATTGGCGCCTACCAGGTAGGCGCGCCTCTTTCACGGAGACGACAGCCACTAGGACAGCACAGCATAGCAATGACACGGTGCCAGATAGATCGTACCGGTAGCGGTACGACTCGGAATGCGAGTGCTAGCGGTTCCGTACAATACAATACGGTACCGCGGCGCGGAATCCAAACCGTCCCCTGCCACACTGCGGCACCCACCACCCACATACCCCCACATACACCCACATACCCACCCACACGCAAGATCCAACAACCCCACGATCCTATTCCACCATGGCCGACCTATACAACCTGCTCGACGAGCTGGAAGAGAACGAAGCCTTCGACGACGATGCGAAGCGAGACCCGAGGCGGCTGACCGTCGAAACCGCCGCGACGGATGGACTGAGCGACGACGACGACGACAACGACGACTACGAGGAGTTCGATGCCCCGACGCCCCGGGTCCCCGCCGCGCTGCTGGACAGGGACGAAGACGAGGACGAGAGCGGGGATCCGTTCTACCCCGCAAAGCCACGGGCCGATGCCTTTTCGAAGGCCGGGCTCGACCTCCACGACGACCTCGACGAGACCCACAAGCAAGAGCAGCACGGCGTCCCGAACGAGCTCTACGAGAAGCTCCACCGGCACTGGCTCCAGGAACGCCACTGCCCCGAGCTGCTCGGGTACGACGAGGCCATGGTCGGGGAGCTCCGGGAAAGGTTCGAAGACCGGCAGCAGCAGGCCGACGACCTGGTCGACAGCCAGGATCCGGTGGAGGTGCTCATGGCCAACCTGGCCCAGCAGGACCTCGACCGGGCGAGGTTCGTCCTGAGCGACTGGCTCACGCACCGGCTGCACAAGATCGAGAGCCACCCGCTGCACATGCGGGAAAAGATCGAGCGGATGAGCCAGAACGAGATCGACTACCTCGCGGCCTACGGGGCGATGGTGCACCACCACCTGGAGCAGGCGGTCACCCGCTCGATCCCGCACGCCTGGAACCAGCTCGACGATCCGGGGATGATCGACCAGCCGGACTACGAGGGGTACCACTTCTGGCTGGTCAGGGAGGCGATCGTGGACCGGGACGAAAACGAGCACGAACCGGGGAGCTGCCTCGTGGCAAAGTACCTGGACATGAAGGAAAACATGAACGGGAACAAGGTGGAACTGCTCGTTTGAGAGCGGGCGGGCAGCGCGCGATTGGCCGAGCAACGACCAAAGGAACGGGCCGTTCCGTTCGGTTTCTATCTATGGAGGGTGCGGTGCGGTGCGTCTGGTCGTTTCGCACGCGAGTGCGCCGTGCCATGGTTTGTTCGGCATGGTTGGTTCGGCACGCACGAGCCGCAATGTTTGGCGAGCCCGAACACGCGACCGCGGGTGGTGCAACGGATGGTTCTGGGTTTGGTTTGCTCCTCGGACGAGGCGAATCGAATCGTTGTGCTCTGGGTGGCTGGCGAGTGCCGCATCGAAACGAAACGAAACGAAACGAAACGAAACGAAACCAAACCAAACCAAACCAAACGAAACGAAACCAAACCAAACCCGTGCGGGGCAGATCCAAGCGGGGAAGGCCGGTAGCACCCGCACGGAATGGCGACACTCGAGCTAGCTACCGATCGCGACCGTCCTTTGTTTTGTTCCGATGCCTGCTCGATGCGACAAGGAGCAGTTTTTGTGGTGGGGAAGAACGTCTTTGTGGCACACGCATCCAATCGCCGATGATCCGAATCGACACGCTCACTCCAAACCCGACTTGATCCATCTTGGTTGGCTTGGGATTCGAGCCCGAGGCGATAGAGAATAACTTTTCGTTCTATTCTAGTATCAGAGGGTTCTGTTACCGGCGTTTCTCGTGCTACAGACTTAGTTTTAGAACATGCTTTCGGGACGGTTCTCGATCCATTTTGATACCCCGGGATGTGCCGCAACGGCATCCGCAACACCGTTCAGTGTGGCGCAGTCGGTGGCGGCCTTGGCCGTGTCCTTCGCATCGGATGCCGGGCAGTCCCGAAGCAACGCCCATACAACAACGTCCGCGTACGAAATCGACGATCCGATGGAACAACCTTCTTTGGTCGAGACCGACTCGATGTAGTCGTTCACCTTGCGCAGCATGGTAGGAAGGTCTTCGTCAAACCACTCGGCACGTGCTTTTGCCTTTTCTTCTTCCGTCTTGTCGCGGGCAAATTTCGAAAAACCCTTGCGCATGGCTGCCTCCTTGACGTCTCGGCAGTGCTCGGCGATGGAATCGATGATGGCTTCCTCTTCCGCGGTCGACCCCATCAAACCGAATCGCTTGGCGAGATACCGCTCGATGGCCTTGGATTGACCGATCGCGGTCCCGTCGGGGGTTACCAATACGGGCGCGCGGTTGAGATTGGCTCTCAGTTCCCCGGATTCTTGTGCGGCACTAAAGGCGGGAGACTTGAAGGACGTGGGGTCGAACTCGTACCGGGTGTCCTCGTACTCTTCTCCGCCGATCGCGAGCAGAACGCGACAGGTTTCGGCCGCCCCCCTGAGGTCGAAGTACTTGAGAACGGGCACGCTGCTGGTGGCGGTGGTGGCCAATCCCAGCGCCGCCATCGGATGGTKGGCGAGGACCATCGCCGCAAATGAAACGAAAGGCGCCAGGGGTTTCATCGTGTGTTTTGGTGGTATCGGCAGTGCAGCGGTAGCTTTGTGATCGCGAAGGGATGGCTCGTTTTTGGCACCGATCGAAATCGACGAGCAGTCGGTCCCTTCCTTGCCCCAATAACGACCGATGCGATGCGGAAACTAAACATCGTTGTTTTTACTGATCGGCATGCGTCATCGAAGCAAATAGGCAAGTTTTCGTACTTCATCCACTGTACGTAAGTACCATACTAGTCGTAACTTGAATGACGTCGTACGATACGATTAGTACGAACAGTACGACGAGTACGAGTACGTAGGTACTGTACTGCAAAAAAATTACAATTGGACTGGTACAACTAGAACTCGTACTTTACCGTACGTACGGTACGGGAATGTTTCGGAAGTAGAAGTAGTTCGTTGTAAGTACGGTACTGTACTTGTACGTGTACTACTTTAAAAAAGTAACGTTGATTTGTGCTTCTTTTAAGGTAGGTTGTCATAAACTGTGAATGGGAAATGGGAACAAGTGCTACGACTAAAATACCATAAGTCGCATGCCGATTATTGCTACAAAGATGACTCGGCAGCAGAACCAAGATTGGAGGGAGATGTAGATGCCATGGTTGGAGAATTCATCGACCACGGAGAATGTACCGACCGGTTCTTCAAGGAAATGCAGCACTTTTCTAGGAACTTGGGTTGACTGGAACTCACGCCGCAACAAGCGCACGGATTCTATCTGTATACAATAGTCACCTGCAGATGCATCTTGTCAGACCCCAGATTAACACCTAGAGTCTTCGGAAGATTCCGAACCTTGGCCAATTTCGGTCGAACATCTCAATGGCAACAGGTACCTTTATTGAATTTAATGTCATCAGTTGTAACGCGCTGTAACTATGCTCTAGTCGAGATTTGGATCAGTTGTAACGCGTTGTAACGACACTCTCGTCGAGATTGGGAAGGGCCCCAATGATGTCTCGATATTTCAAATCACCTTGACAAAGTAAAAGCAGAGTAATCCTGAGGGTTATTGTGCTGTATAAAAGTAGTAAAGTCGTTCGCGGAAGACGACATCAGTTCAACGGGAGCTGGTATTGTTCCGCTGCTGTGCATAATTTTCCCAAAACACGGATGCAAAGAGAAGGGCCGCATGCTGGAAGCACACTACGTAAGGCCATCTAGTTGGATTCAGCCTCTCCAGCAAGGTTTGAAGCCCCACTAAAAACGGTAGGAGCTTAATGGCAGAGCTGTCATGCCCCAATTCATTTGATTTTCATCCCGGGAAACCCATCAAATTCAGGGGTTTCAACGATACAGGCAACCAAAGAGGAACGGTGATCGAAAAAGATGACCTTTCAGCTGTGACGGTTTTGTGCACCGAATGGAGGAGATGATTAATTCCAATGATCATCGATGACGGTATTCAATCGTCTTTCTCTTGAATAGACATCCAGAGTGTTTTCGATTTCAAACAACTTTGATACGGAATTACAATACTGTATCACAACAACGGTTTGAAACTAGACGGCAGCAGTATCTCAAGTGAAATGTTTAGATGAATTCATATGTGTATTGTCATAAGCCATCATCATGACCAACGATAGATCTTTGATTAGGAATATAATAAAGTGTTGATTGCGAAACACACAAATGATTTTCTAATGTCAACTTCGATGCATTGTAGGTACTCAATGCGCGTCTGCGAGCCAATGATGTGTTGTATTGATAGGCAAGTATGGAAATCTGATCGACACGAACGTAGATCTGACAGACGGCTCAAACCCTACAATTCGTCGCCCTGAATCTTCGCATCTGGCGTGCATACACCGCAACTCTTGGGGCAAACACGTTTCATGTAATTCGCATTGTTTATGCATTCGTCCGAATCCCAGATGGCCCACTCGGCGCACATGTGATGTTCGTCCTCGCATTTTTTCTTCTGCTTGGTGTGGTCGGAATCATTCCTAATAGTTTTCTTGGGTCCACCAATGTTGGTGATGTCCAAAACAGTCTTGCTTCCGTCCGGATTCAGAACGTATCCATGTTCACCCGGTCCACTCCATTTCCGAGAAAGATTTGTGTTGCACCAGTAGTTTTCACAGCTTTTAGAAGGTCGATTTTAAAAGAAAATAGAGGTCGACACAGTTGTTTGTAGATTAGTCTGGGATCCGCTGTTTCTGGATAGGAAAGAAATACTTACACCCTTTTGTTTGAAAAAATCGAATGCAATCACAAATTATACTTACGTTGGCTCCTCCATGGTTGTCCCGTGCATTTTAAGGGGGATTTCGTATTCTGTATCGGGCTTTTCTGTCCAGTGTGGTGGAATCGCAATAACCTTGGCATCGTTATCGAAGGTTTCTTTATATCCATGGGTTGGATAGTAATGCACAAAAACGCTGCTGTACCAACTCCCTTTGAATGGACGGGGGCGTCCGTGAAAGCATTTGCTGCTCTCATAAAATAGAAGATCGCCGCTCTTCAGTGTCACCTCGTGAGTGGCTGAATGAAATCAAACCAAATCGAATCGATTTAAACCACGGCAAACAATTGAAGTGTTCCGACAAAAACAGAAAAGCCAAAATAATAATAACGGTGTTAGTTTGATCAAAGAACCCAATTCTGCACAGGAGCAATATCCACGACGAAAATACAACGACACTATTATCTGTGTTCTGTCCAACATCGATGACTTGAGCATTTTGCTGTCAGTTCCATTGAGTTGTATTGGATTGTACGATGCGACAGTATAGTATACATACTTCCTTGCAAATCTTCAATCAGGATCGGCCACGGTTCAGCATCGTCGGAAGAATCGATGTGAAGGATAAAAGAAATCACGTGCGTTCTAGTCTTGTCGACGTGGACGTGCAGTCTCGATGTGTTGCGATACAACCGAAAGCCATAAGCAATGACTGGTGTCAATTCAAAGCCCGTCCATGCCTCGGGATAATGCTGCAGCTCTTCGAGGACCCGTTGGGTCAGATCCTTACGGTCGATGAACCACGGGCGGGGCTCGGTAATCGCGTTAATTTCAGCCTCGAGGCGGGGCCCTTCCTCCACGCCCTTCCGAATCGCCTGCCGAAGATCCTCCATCAATCCATCGGGTGCCCGTGCAAGTCCAAAGCCGTGCTCCGTAAAATTTTTCTGGAGGAAACCGGCACTGATTGTCTGCGCGAATCCCTCGAATCGGTCCGACCGGTCCTTAATTTCGCCGACCTGGCGCAGCCTGTGCTCGAACAGCTTTCTCCATCCGGGCGTGTCGGGAACGAATTTTTCCGGGGGCCACGTATGGTTTCTCGCGTGGTAAAGCTCAACTCGCTCTTCCTCGGTACGTCCGCGCACCGGCGTAACGAGGAGGGTGCTCAAAAGAGCCATTCCCAGGAGGAGTAGGGAGCATGAAATACGTGTGTGGTGGGTCATCGTATTCGTCGTAATGTTTCGATGTAGAGGTTGGAGTGGGCTTGAGACAAAGTTGGTTCTCTTTGTCCAGTGTATGTTAGGCTCTAGTTTTGTGATTGCTAGATGCTAGATCAAACGGTCGTGGGCAATGGCAAAGGCGTCTCCTATCGTATTCACAGAATGCAACACCGATGATAAAGTGACCAAGAGTCTTTTATGCTGTAGTCGTATGGTTATCGTTAATCGTACAACTCAAGTTCGTACTGGATTGTACGATAGCCTCCTAGTCCGAACATACCGTACTTTCATCGGGTACGTACGATACGATACAAACGTCGAGCGTGACAGAGAAAACTTGGAGACAACGGTCATAAACTCTGTTTTGTACGAGTTGCTGTGCGATTTTCGATTTTCGATTTTCCTGCAAGACCAACAATCTGCTTCATAAACTAGCTTACTTAGTACGGTACATTACTTTTCATAGTTAAGGTATTGTACAGTAGTACCGTACAACCATCGACTACTTTTTTCTTTTCGACTTCCATGATACACTGTTCGGCGTCTGCACTGCATTCATTGATCATACGTACGTACTCGTACTACCGCAAGAGTACCGTTCCGTCCTGGGGGCAACCCCCTTTCCTACCCCACACCATTTCATACCGCAAACCAGTGGCGACAATGCGTCCCACTCCGTTGCAACAAACTTTCCAAGAGCAAGCAGCTTGCAGCTAGATCACCATCACAATTTCATCCCACTCATTGTGTTTCACCGTAAAGAGCCATGGCCGATGACGATTCCGACGATTCCGACGAATGGGGCTTGGAGGAGCTTGTGATACCTCCCAAAGGCGAAAAAACCGGTGGTGGCAACACCGGTCAAGGGACGGATGCAGACGGAGACGCAGATGTCGGAGACGATTACTGGGAAGTGAAAAAAAATACCGGCGTTGCAGCAAAGGGGGCTAGCAAGGAACAAGAAGACGACAGCAACGGTGGTAACAACAACGACGATGACAAAGGCGGGGAACCCATGATCATCGTCGACATGACGTTACTGAATCCCGACATCCACAGCAAGTTCGACCGAAACTCTGTCAACCAACCTGAGGAGGCATCGGCGCTTCGAAAGGCGATCGAAAAAGACTACGAAACGTACGCCCACTCCAGCGACTATCTGTCGGAGGGAATCGTCGTGCCATGCGGGTCTTCTGTGTGGAGGGGCGCACTCGTAAGGCTCCGAGACGAGCGCCCTGGGCATTATTTTGTGCCTATTTTCCGACCCAAAACAAAATATTGAGCCCTTTGCGCTTCCTGTCTCAAGGCAGCATTACGGGGCCACAAACAACTCTGGATGGGTTTAGACGKGGACCAGCTCCAATACCAAACTTCATGCGTTGGTCGAATGAATGATATCAATCCTGCGCACGTGGGAACGAGGCGACGAAACGCAGCTTTCATCAAAATATCAAATCTTACGCGAAGCCAATAGGAAAATAATCCCATGAAAACACAGCATGATGTACAATTGTGGAACAAAACTAAAATAGCGGCTAGGATGGCGGCAAACATGCAAACTTAAATATCATGCTACATGCTGCTCAGTCCGTACAGATGTAACGTTACCAGGAGCTGATTTAATTAACCCTCTTCCAGAAATTCAGGGTAAAAAATATTGAACAATTCCCGCGGCATTGTGATCTGGCACCTTTTTTATCCGGTGTCTTGAATTGGATCGTTTCGATACATCGTCGTTGTAGTTGGATCCTCGTCTACGGTGTTTACAATGCCCTTTGGTTCTCGGCGACCTTTCCGATGGCAACTCGCGTCTTCCGCTTTGTTCTCATTCGAGTATCTCGAAATTGTTTCCATTCCAACATTGGTCTCAGGGATGGATCAAAATCGACGGCCATTCGGGCAATTTCTAGAGACTTCACAGAGTTGCCCTGTTTCATTTCGAACAACGCAAACGCACCAAGAACCTTCGCTGAGCATGCGCAGTGATGGTGCTCGTTTTCGTTCGCATCAAAGGCGGCGTCACCATCGTTTTTGTTGCCATTGGTTCTCGTTCTGCCTTCTTCGTTCATTACAATCTGCCGAAAAAAGTTTAGAAATACGGAACGGGTCTTTTTTGGATTGTTCCCCATTCGCTGGGAGTGCAGTGCGAATAGTAGCGTTGTCACAGCCAGCTTGGCATGATCGCAAGAATCCCCTTCTTTTTCTTCTTGGAGGATTTCCCGAATGATCCGCTCGTAAAGGATCTCCGCGTGTCTATATCGTCCCTCCTTTATCTTTTGCAAGGCGAAATAGTGTTTTCTGGCCATTCGTTCGAATTCCTTTCGATACTCTTCCGAGGTAAGGACGTCTCCGTCGATCTCGCCCGCGTTCCGCCTTCGCTCTTCCCTCGTGACCTTTGAGTAGTACGAGCGAGATTTTTCGTTCCATTCTTGGCGCAGTTCGTCGTATTTTCCTTTCCTTTGTTTTCTGCTTATTGCGTGTTGTGCAGAAACGTTGCTAGGATTGGTTCGAAAGGCACTGGCACCCATCATAACGGTTGTTTCGGAAAGAATGAAGGAGATTGAAATCACCAGTATTCCGATTGAAATTCGAAGTTTCGATAAAACCATCATTGGCGTTTTGGTTGGGCTAGTTACTATCGTTTCGCACAATGACGCGATTGTAGAAAAAAGACAGGGGAAATTGGACTGCACGGTACTACCTCAGCAACGAGATGTTTTTTGTGGATTTCCATTATTTGCCGTGTTCGTTCGGCGCTCTCGAATACAGTTATTCCTGCTTTACCAAAATCCCTGAATTGTGAGTGATAATTTGAATCGACATCAACGTGCCCATCATGTCAGCTGTTCGATTCTGGCATACCGTACGGTACCCGTAGGTACTGTAGAAACAGCTGAGGACAAAAAATATTATTTTTTTGAAACCCACTTTTGCAAAATCAAGCAGGTTGGAATCGAATTCCTCCGGATCATTGCTACTGAATGCCCTTGTGATTCCGAATGGAAGTGCCGTTGGAAGTTGGAGGGAATTCGAGAAGAAAGAGAAAGAATATTTCGTTTGTTTTTCCTTTTCGGCTTCCGATGATCAAAACTGGGCCCTCTTGAAAGAACGGTTTGTCGTGCACGATTGGATCGTGTCAGAAGCGTTCTCATTTTTTCTTCCGAAGGAATGTTTCCCGTTTCTCATTCGTCGATTTCCATCTTTTTCCTTCTCGTTTCGGATCCGAACAACACCTGTCCACACCTTAAAAGAAGTAGTGCTACATGACTGTAAAACCTCACATACGACTGGAAATTTTGTCAGTTGTGTCGAAGAAAAGCTACAGAAGCACTATCATACTGTAGTACACTCTTGATGCATTTACTAGTACCACTAGTACTAGTATTACAGTAATCTTGAAGGCAGGCATAATGAAGGTGCAACAGATACGTACGTACTGTATCGGAGTTTTGACCAAACCAACAGTGGTGACATCCAAAAGAGGCCTTCTTTGCATTGCCTCCAACACCATCCACTCAATCACCAGCTGCACCAGCCGATAGCCTTGAGCTTTATGGTCTTGATAATGAAGAAGCTCTTAAGAATCCAACAGCAATGACCTTACGAGCTCTGAAAACACCACCGAATGTGCAGGATGTACTACCAACTGTCATCCTAGTGTGCAAAGCCATCCAAGGCCTACCGACAATGAACACATTCAAGGTTCTATTAGATAGTGGGAGCACTATGTGTTTGATTCATGAGCGTTGCCTTCCACCTGGAACAGTGCCTTTCCAAGATCAATTCAGCTCAGTCACGACAACAGCTCAGGGAAGCTTTGACACTTCTAAATATGTCTTCATCTCTAACATACGGCTCCCTGAATTTGGCAATGGCAAATATACAAGAGGGATCAATGCAAGGCTTTTCTCAGCCCCTTGCAACTATGATATGATCCTAGGAAGGGATTTTCTACTGATGACTGGAATAGATCTCCTCTATTCCACGAGCACTATCAGGTGGTTAAACTCAACCATCGATATGAAAACAGCAGATCATTTCAATGATCCCCAGCACGTGGCAGAAGCCATGTGGATTGCAGAGGATGATGAGCTCTTAGATGGAGGATTCTTTGAGTTTCATCTACTCCCTCCAAGCAGCTGCCAACCACAAAACTGCAGACGTGCAGTCGGTTCGGACAGTTATTTAGCAGCAGATGCTGAAAGACCCACTAAGGCAACAAAAATCCTGGACACAAAGTACCAGAAGGTGACTCCCAAGCAGGTTGCAGACCATCAGGAGCACATGAATGATTCAGAAAGACTAGCATTCCAAGAAATGTTAGCCAAACACACGGAGTTGTTTGATGGCAAACTAGGCAGATATCCACATGAAAAGATCCACATCGATCTTGAGGATGATGCCGAACCAGTTTATATAAGACCATACTCAGTTCCCTACAGACACGAGGATGTCTTCAAAAGGGAATGCCAACATCTAGTTGATGAGGGAGTTATTGCTCCCACTGGCAATTCAGAATGGGGCTTTCCAGCCTTTATMATTCYGAAAAAGGACGGCAGAGTCAGATGGCTTGTTGACCTAYGAGAATTAAATAAAAGGATCAAGCRTCCYAAGTTTAATCTTCCCAAGATTCAGGACATCTTGAACCRAAGAACACRMTAYGATCATTTCACYAAGATYRAYCTCTCSATGATGTTCTATTGCTTTGAATTGGATGAGGAGAGCCAGAAGATTTGCACTCTCACCACAACACATGGAAATTACAAGTGCTTACGATTGCCTATGGGACTTAAATCATCTCCAGACTATGCTCAAGCATTCATAACCAAGATCTTGGTCAATCTCGATGTTGAAGTCTATATCGATGACATGGGGATTTGGTCGCGAGGACCATTCAGCAAACACCTCTCTTTGGTTGACCCAGTTCTTCAGTGTTTAGCATCCAATGGAATGAAATGCAACCCTTTGAAGTGTGAGTGGGCCGTGAAGGAGTCAGATTTCCTTGGATATTGGCTTACCCCTACTGGTGTCAAGCCTTGGCAAAAGAAGGTAGATGGGATTCTAAAGATGGGGAATCCACAGAACCAATCCCAGGTCCGATCTTTTCTGGGTGCAGTGAATTATTATAAATCCATGTGGCCTTGGCGCTCACATGTACTGGCCCCTCTAACAGCTCTTACTGGCTCTGGACCCTACATATGGACCCCAGAGTGCAATCAAGCCTTTCAAGAGATGAAAGCCCTTCTTGCCCATGATGCTATTAACACCTTTGCCAGCTTGAAAGAGCCCTTTCATGTTTACACTGATGCCTCTGACTACCAGCTTGGAGCAGCAATACTCCAGAATGACAAACCAATTGCCTACTGGTCAAAGAAACTAAACAAAGCCCAGATGAATTACACCACGATGGAGAAGGAGCTGTTGGCAATCATCCTTTGTCTCAAAGAGTACCGAAATATGTTATACGGTGGCCGTATCAACATTTACACTGACCATAAGAATCTCATCTTCAGGACCCTGTCCCAGTCCCGGGTCCTCAGATGGAAACTATCCTTAGAGGGCTTTGACATCACGTGGCAATATATACCAGGCAAAAAGAATGTTCTTGCAGATTGTTTCTCTAGAGTGCCCAGAATGGATCCGTGCACTGTCCGGGATAAAGAACAGCAAATGTATGACCAGAACAAGGGAACAGTTGTTAACTTCAAAGAGTTAACAGCCCAAGTGGATCCGGAGGATGTTTTCTATCTGGAGCCAGAACTACATGAATGCTTGCTCAATCTACCACCAGTATCACAAATGGAAAATCCAATAACCAATGCAAGCCTGTACACATACCAGCTCACGGATCCACAGTGTCAATACCTGCTTGATACTGATCAACGTTATGTTAAGAGAAGGATAGGCACCTTTGAGTTACTCACAGTCACCATGAGTGATAATAACTGGAAGATCTACTTGCCGGAAGGGCTGGTTGATAGCACCCTCAGATGGTATCATCTACTATTAGGGCATTGTGGCAGCACCCGGCTCTATGAAACTATCAGTGCTAGGTTCTATGCTCCACGACTCAGCCAAAGATGCAAACAATACCAATGTCCAGACAAGTGTCACAGATTTAAACAACAAGGCCAGGGACATGGCCTATTACCAGCTCGGGAAGCTCAGCTTGTTCCTTGGAATGAAGTATGTGTGGATCTGATAGGTCCGTGGAAGATACTTCTCCCGGATGAGACTGAACTGGTGATCAATGCTCTCACTTGCATTGATCCAGTCACTAACCTATTGGAAATCATCAGAATCAACAACAAATCAAGTGAGCATGTTGCAGAGCAATTTACAAACTGTTGGTTGTCACGATATCCCAGGCCCAACAGATGTATACACGATAATGGCAAAGAATTCATCGGAACTCCCTTCAAACAGTTACTGAATCAATTTGGAATTAAGAGTGTCCAAACCACTGTTAAGAATCCACAGGCAAATGCAGTCTGTGAAAGAGTTCATCAGACGATTGCTAATGTGCTACAAGCCACGCTTCACACAAGCAAGCTACTAGAAGAAGCTGAGTTTGATGAAGAACAACTGATTGACAACGCCCTTGCATCTGCAATGCATGCTACCAGGTGTGCAGTGAATGCAGCAGTGAAGACCTCACCAGGTGCGTTGGTCTACAACAGAGACATGGTAATGGATATTCCACTCATTGCTGACTTGAATGTTATCAGAAATAAAAGACAACATCAAATCGATGAGAATCTTAGGAGAGAAAATGCTCGAAGAATACCTTTCAAATATCAGGTCGGACAACAAGCTTACATGAAACACTATGAACCAGACAAGCTGTCCCAAAGATTACACGGCCCTTATCCCATTGTGGAGATCAACACGAATGGAACAGTAGTGTTACAAAGAAGTGACAACGTACGTGAGACTGTCAACATTCGGAAGCTTGTTCCTTACAAGGGAACTAATGCAAATGCAACTCCTGAAAACCCAGCAACAGAGGAGCCCCCTGTTGAAAACATTGAAGATATGATTGCTACAGTTTAGTAGTAATACTGAAGGCAGTATTCCTGTCGGGGATAATGCAACAGATACGTACGTACTGTATCGGAGTTATACGTACGTACGGCACGGAGACCAGAATAAAGGGATGAAGGAACATACCATTCCTACGTACGTATCGTAACGTACGCTTCCTATGTATGTATCGTAGGATCTATCTTATTGAGGATCATAAGAGGTCCAAGATATCAAGTCGGGAATACCTCACGAAGAATAGAGATGTCACGAGTCCGGAATAGAAGAACCTTCATGTAGATTCCCTACCAGGTCTACATGAAGATCTAATCGGAACCTCGGAATTCTCGTGAACGCGCTTGGTAATCTTCGACTAATTCTAATCTTATAATTCAATTTTCATACACACTTAAACATACTAAGAGTACACGTAATCTCGTGCAGAAGGCAACTTTCAACTCMCTCAAAAATTCCACCACTACTACTACTAGACCACTAGTGGTGGTACTGACGAGTAGTAATAAGAAATGACCTGGTGGCAACAACAACAACTACTAGTACTAGTAAAGAATAGTACTTCCTCTAGTCCACAATGAGTGTCATTGTGACCCTATTTTGCTGTTCCTGAAAGAGTGTCGTTGGTGTTGGGCCTATGTAGGATTGTGTACATTTAGTACCGTAAACTTATTCATTTACATTTATAAACATTCTTAATAGAATTATAACTATAGTACTAGATTGCTACTATCACTATGCTGC